GCTGCTGCTCTGCTGCTCTACGCTCAGAGCACAAGCGACTGTTACATTAGCAAAATGTATTTATGACTGAACGTCCATATCTTTTTATCATCTCTGTGGGCAACAATACCTAAAAAACAAGTTTTTTCTCCGACAACTTGGGTGTAAAAAACTATGGTTGTTAAAGCTTTGCTCTGCGCCACCGGCAGCAGGAGGAGGGAGGGAGAGATTATGATCCCGCCACACAACATAAATTTTCTACAGAGGAGGGGGAAATTTTGAGGATTTATTCTTTCTATACGTGTTTTAAAACGCTATATTTCTTAATTTATTTTCAAAATATTTCGAATAAATTAGCCTATTAAAAAATAAAAGAAATAGTTTACTTGCCCGGTCGGGCAGACATCGGGGGACACCCACCTGCCCGAATATGGGTTTTACCTGCCCCGGGCAGTCGGGCAATAGGACTTGTTGAACCCTGTCCAAGCCATGCTTTGACATAAAACCATGAAATTTAGTACACGTGTAACATCTCAGGACCTATAAAAAAGTCTTGTTGTGTCATGGTCCAAACCCCACAGGAAGTCAGCCATTTTGGATTGAAGCTYCCAATTTATCTSTTTCTTTGCACATGTATCTGAGCCAACTCCTCCTCCAGCTTTGAACATGCAGACTTCACATGCTGCATGCTTCTCTCAACACTGACTGAAGGCAGGATGCTCTAAATCACYCATACATGATCRGATCTGCACAAAATTTTCTGTGCATCYTAAGGGAGACCTGCTCAACACGTRTGTTTAGTAGTTTAACAAGATCAKTTTAYTCCCCTGTCAATCTGTTCACCTTATGAGATTATTTAAATAATGAAGGCCTGTGATGATTCCAYCAAAACTGCCATCAAGTGGTCACTACTGAKTGGTGAGTGGAGACATCAGCGACGGTTGGCGTCGAGTTCTYTCTTGTTATGACTTCCAAGGAGTCAAACTTTCTTCTAAACGTTTAAAGTGTCCTTGATCACTAGGTTTTAGGCTTTCTGGAGGTCTCTGCAAGTTTTCTTTTATGATCCTTGGCTGTTTTCACTTTTTACCCAGTTCATAATAATTTTCAAGGCCTGACCTCTAATCATTCAGGCATAAAAAGTCTCCTGACCTTAAGGCAAGGATTGAACCAGTAATTATTTCAGCACATAACAAAACTTAGGAAAGAACCTAAAGGAACTTGGTTATTTTGTAGAATCTGAAAATTACCATAGGCAATTGATAGACAGGAAAAAAATAGTAATTTAGCACAAGAAGGCGTAAGCTGAACAACCTGACTGATTATGATGATGGTGACCAAATTGAAGAGATGCCTCTTTAAAGTCCTGTCTCAGGTTTCTGTTGGATTTTCTGCTTTTTAAAGTGGTGACCTTCAGATGTTGTGCATCTACTGGAGATGACACTTCCGGTTTTTTACCAAAGTCAAAGTCCAACAAAAAACTTTAAAAGAGCTCCAGAAGACCCGAGAAGCTGTCCTCTAAGTCAGAGGTTTTCAAACTTTTAAGTTTCTGGCCCACAAAATTACAGTTGCAGAAATTTGTGACCCCAGATATTACTGGTTTTCTTATGCAAACTTTGCTAATATGGGCATAATAACAACATAAACAACCCTAGTAACTACAATACTACTTTTATTCATTTATGATTATTGTATATTACATTATTTTCAATAATTAGGGTGAAAATATATTCCATTAGCAATTTATTTGCATTTAAAATGATGTATGGAAATCATCTGGGGACCCTTACTTGATATTTTGTGACCCACATAGGGGTCCCGTCCCCAACTTTGGGAACCACTGCTGTAAAGACCCAGAGAAACCAACATTTTCCAACAATTCAAGTACAGTTTGGTGACGATCAGTGTGCTTTACAGCTTTTTAGAACAGCGTGTCACAATGCAAGGGTTGTTAAAGTAGCTTTAAGATCAGAAAAAAACTGTTTTCACTGTCCTAAATTGAGTATTGAGTGAAAAAAGCCTTTTGGTTATAAACTTTATTCTGAGCTGTGTTTTTATTCCAATGAGCATTTGTGACTAGAATCTAAAAAACCAAGTCCTTTGAAGCTAAAAATGCTGCTGTGCTTTTAAAAAAAAGATTTCTGRTCTGCATTCAGTCATTTTGAAGCTGCTTCATGCAAACAGAGCTGATTTAAAAGCAGGAAATGGACTGACTTCCAGATAACTGAAGCTGTGTTTGTGTTCAAGTTTGTGCTCTTTAAGTATTGATGAGCACAACTCAGATGAAGACGAGCCGTAAAAATGTCACGAAATGATATCTTATTGATCTTTTGAGTCTTCCCTACTCATGTGGAGGCAGATTGGTGGTCTGATTTCATCTCCGCTCTCTCTCTCTGTGTAAGAAATGCCTAACAAGCACTCTGCTTCATCCTCTTCTCTTCCTCCTGCTGCGCCTCAGGTTTGAACTCCATTCTGTTTGCCATCAACATCGACAACAGCGACTTGAACGGTGGGTTAATGCGAGCGGGCTCCTCGGTGTCCCACCTCCTCAAGGAGTCAACACAGGGCATCGGCAGCCTTCTGAAGGAGTCCACTCAGGGAGTGAGCAGCCTCCTGCGAGAGATCAGCACTTCCACGGCTGTGGTGCCCGGCTTCAGCCCGAGAGTGGACGGAGCCTCTGACCCGCTGCCCGTCCTGCCCCGCAGCACCTCTGCTGGTAGGAAGCAGCACTGTTCTTTGGACTGTTCTCTAAATTACAAAAATATATAGTAAACTGCTCTTTTTACTGCATTGTTGCCACTTGTCACGTTTTCCCAATTGGTTAAACTTCAAGATTTACTCATTTTTTCCCTTCTTTTTAAAAGTATTTGCAGAAGATGCATCATCATCATCGTCAGTTCAGTAAAATGTAGGGTTGGCRAATACAGGCAAAACAATTTATCACAATAAGTTGTGGCAATTACCTAACAATTAATATTATGATCAGTAGATGAAAGCTGCACTTGTATGCTTTTTTATTTATTTTTTAATTTTTTTATAGAAACATTGATGAACATATTACATAGCCCAATTACACAGCATAAATTTTAACATTAGTGCAAAAAGTGTCCTTGGGTGTCCTGAAAGGTGCTTTTCAAATAAAATGATTATTATAAAAACAAAATTATCTTAATTCAATTCAGTTTATTTATATAGCGCTAAGTCACAACAACTGTTGTCTCAGGGCACTGTACACACACACACGCACACACGCACTCACGCACGCACGCACTCACGCACACACAAAAACAACAACAAAAACAATAAATCTAAAGAAGCCAGCAGACTGAACACTTGGGGGAGAAGTAGAAGATACGTTATATATTTGACTCTAAATCAGTCACCTTGTGTTCTAAAATTATACTTCCAAACCATCAGTCAAACMAACTTCTTCATTTGATCGGGTTGAAATATTTCCACAACGTGGAGTGGCAGRGTATCTGTAGGAATGCAATATGTCACGGCCCACATTATCTCTTTCCAGCACTGACTTTGCTACTCGTAAGGGACGGACTGAGTGCATCGTGGATTATCAGCTGATTAGATTTCTTTCCACCATTCTCTGYAGACAGTGTTGCTTCGCTCAGCAGCTTTCGTCGTACTCCTGCTCATGGCGGTCTTTCAGTTGATAAAACAGATTCCTTTTCGGTCAGTACACTCTGGACAAACGTAGGTATCTGTGTCTGAAAGGAAAAAAGCCACAAGCACGTGGTTGTGAACCAGGGCTTCCAGACTTGCTAGAGGCAGTGAGACTTTTCTTATTCTTCTTCAGCACCARTGATAGGGACAACAGGGGGGTGCTGTCTGCCAGTTAGCAAGCCAAACAGGTGAAAATGAGTTGTTTTGCTCTTAAAGGGGACCTATTATGCAAAATTCACTTTTTAAAGTTTTTTTTTTACTCAACCTTGGGAATGTACTTCTTAAAAAAACAGTCCTAGGACCAAAAAAAAATGCACCCAGGGGCATATTTACTGTAAGTAAATGTATTTTTAATGTATATTAACGACAAGTTTTATACTTCCATCATTTTGTGATGTCACAAGCCGTACGACAACCCACCGGAACCTGTGTTCAGCCCCTTACCTTGCAACCCCCGAGTGAGACTCCTCCTCAGTATAAAAAGCCGTCACGGTTGTTGTTGTGTAATGTGCAGCTCATTTCACAACAAGCCTGCAACAGGGCAATGGGTAGAGTGTTGGACCAGAGAGTGGGAGACTAGGGTTTGAGACCGACACGAACACAATTTATTTGTTTATTTATTTTCATTCGTTATGAACACGTTTTCTCATGTACCTCTATTGTTTAGCTTATTAAAACCTTGTTAAAGCCTATTTGTTCGAGTTTCTGAGGTATTTTGACCACTGCTGCTCCCTGCTCTGGTAACAGAGCGCAGAACAGAGGAGGGAGAAAAAAAAGAAGCTGCGACCACGACTCTGCCTCTGGGTCTCACTCAGGGTCTCATATGGTTGCACAACGGAGCTTCTGCTATTATTAGCCATGCTAACGTAAACGCTGGCTTTGGAGGGCGGAGTTAATGTCAACAGATTTTTGGAGGGCGTTACCAACGACATTATAATAGGACTAGATACCGTAACCACCGCTACTGCCTAATGGAGCTGACGAGACGTGGGGCCGCCATCTTAAACCGGTCTCCCGGTCCACTCAGTGTGGTAAGTGTAGCAGGCACAATGAAGTATCAACATGTTTAATAAATCATAACTCACTGAAAACTGAAGTGACGGTCATGCCTTTAGCTGCAAACCTTATACATACAGCTAGCATAGCTAGCTACTTGTATAAGAGCACATGGTTGTGCGTATTTAAATATTATTGGGGTTGAAGGTAATATATTTTGCAAAACAAAGTGATCCGTGCATATATGTATGTATGTATATATACATACA